ACACACACACACACACACACACACACACCCACACACACACACACACACACACACACACACACACACTTGTGTACTTACGGTCGCATTTCATGCCCTGGTGTATCAGCCCGTAGAGGAGCGAGCCGCAGTGGTCACAGAAGGTCGGGCTGGAGTAGGTATGGACCTTAAACTTGTGTTTACTACGAGGATCCTGCAAAGGCACAAACACAGAGAGGAGAGAGAAGATATGTGAATTCAATATTAAAGAGTAATCCAGGTCACTTCAGGCTAGGCCCTGCATCTGCAGTTAGCTCAGACTCCTTTAAAAGATTCAAAAACAAGTTCAGTTGTTCTCGGTTGTCTTGTAAGGCTGTATTTAAAGGGGCGATTCACCCCAAAATTACATTGTCATTTACCTCGAAGTGTTATCCAACCATGCAGAGAACTTTGGTCTTATTCACACATGTAATAAGATACACTTTATATCCAAAAGTATGTGGACACCAGAAAATTTCAGCCGTATGTGAGCATTATTTTTAAACTATGTCAATTATAAACCATATAACGTCCACTCTTATGGGAAGACTTATCACAACATTTTAGAGCCACATGCAGGGACGGGCTCCCATTGTATTTGGAGGAGATCAGAGAGGTCTCAAAGTCATCCCAAAAGTTGTTGAAGATGGGGTTGAGGTCAGAGCTCTGCATATGTCAGTCAAGTTCTTTGTCACCAGACAGGGAAAAACACTTATTTACTACAGGGCCGGGCATAAAACCTGTCAACACCCTGGAACCAAAGTGCATTTTACTTTTAACCATTAAGTATATCTGTGGCAAACCATTCATTTGAACATTGCTTTCCTCATGACAGAGGGCTAAAGAGATATTATTAGAAGAGAGAATGCATCACTCATTCGAATTTGGAGAATGCCTAAAAATAGGAGGAAACAAATCAGCTGTGGGGATATAACAAAAACAAAGAAAGACCAAGGAGAGTTAGGGATGAATAAACATCAGTTACATGGCTTTAAAATCCTCGCTGACTCACAAAATGTGTGCTGACTTTTGTGTGTGCATGTGTGTATGTGTGTATGTGTGTGTGCTAGGGAGTAAGTGAATGAAAGATTTCAGCTCATTAACCCGAGGCAGCCAGGCAGCACATTCTGTCCTTATTGACATGTCTCAGTGTGATTTGGGGCTGACAGCTCAGCAGAGTGCAAGAGGTAGCATCCCTGTGTGTGTGTGTGTGTGTGTGTGTGTGTGTGTGTGTGTGTGTGTGTGTGTGTGTGTGTGTGTGTGTGTGTGTGTGTGTGTGTGTGTGTGTGTGTGTGTGTGTGTGTGTGTGTATATATTGCAGCAAATACAGGAACCACACACACACACACACACAGTGCTGACCTTGCTAATGTTAATAATAAACATAACTTAACAGGAAAGAAATCACTAACTGTGTGTTTAATAAATATCTAACTTGAGCACATGATATGAAAATGACCTCCTTTTTTCTTTACTCACATCGGATGCCGGTCCCTTGTCGGCCCCCGGACAGGAGAAGGTGACAAATTCATGACAGCGCTTATGGACCACAAAACAGCACACTGGTGGAGGGAGGGAGGGAGAGAGAGAGAATAAAAAGTGAATGTCAAACTCAGGCTTCCTTGCAACGCCAAAAAAGGCAACATAATATCAACAAAGAGATGAATCAATATGTCAATTATGTGGCATTAGTCATTGCACAATATGCTGCTCATATTTCAGCAGTTCCCATTTCTTCCTTCCTTGCTCTGTGTACATCTATTTATAGTTGTATTGCTTCAGTTGAAGATGATATTAAATAAATCGCAGCATGGTGGGACATCTAGTAATAATCGCGCCGCATTTCATTAAAGCTGCTGCAGGAAACGTGTGGCAGGCAGCAGGCTGCACACACCTGGTGACTGCATGTTCCTGCTTTCTGCCTCAAGTTGTGCTAAATGTATTAATTGAAGTGACAGACAAAAAAAAAAGAGCACCCTGCATACTTTGAGCCGAATATAGCACATGGTTTCTGATCCTCATTCCCTTTTTATTCAGTTTGTATGTTGGAAGATAAATGGACTGTGCTTCATATCTTTGGGTGGCTGTTAAGACAGCAAGACACACACAAAGAATAGTTTTGATTTGACTGCAAGCACTTTTCAAGAACATGTTCGACAAAGTTCACTTCATCACTTTCATAGTACAATGAAGTAGCAGGTCTGCTCAAAAGTAAGTAATGACATTGAAGAAGTGGGATGGTCGGTCTAAGTACATTCACTTGAGTAATGTGAGTAAGTACTTTTTTGAAGTACTTGCACTTTACTTGGGTTATCCAACACACAATATTGTTCTTTGTGTTAACATTTTTACAAAACTACATTTAATAGTTCGTTTTTCAATTAATACATTAGAATATATTGTTATATAATACGGTATCCAACATTTTCCAAGTATGTTCATATAAAAAAATGAAGATTTGTCGTATTCAGTTTCCTGCATTGACTTTTCGTGAATAAGCGTTTTACATATAATACATACTGTAAACAGTGATTAAGAAAATAATCAAGCCTTCTCTCTTTTGCAATGTGTGTATTAGTTGCAACACAAAGTATACATTTAAGTGAAGAGCGGATATTTAAAAGGCACATATGAACATTTCAGAATTGTGATAATGAATAGACTTTTATCTGCTGCAAGCAGAGATCTGAATTTCTATACCAACATGTTGACAGGAGTTGAGTAGGAGAGATTGACAAGCTGGTCTGATCCATCGCTGCATCTAACAAATGTTCATTTCCCAAAGCCCAAGCTGACACGCTTACACAGCTCCTTTTGTCCAACAAACAATCCCACACCAAATAAAAAACATGCAACATATTAACATTTTAAGGGTTAAATCAGTTAGTTGTGTGCATGTTTTTTATGAACTGTTAAAATGACATGTTGCCATTTTATGTTTATATATGCTTGTATGTATCATAAAAGGTTGCAGGCTGTTTTTCATAGTTACAGGTACAATGGAAAGATGGAAAGGCATCAGTAACCAATATAGAAGTACTTGGCATCAGCATATTATTTAACGAATAACAAAAGAATAAGACTAAATAATTTGCTTGATCCACGTTTACTGTATAAAAACAGCCACAGAAGAAACCATTCCAATGTATACGTAACTATTAAGGTTTTTAAAAAATGTGTGTCAAAAAGAAGGGCTGAAAATATAAGATTTTTTGATTTGATTAGATTTATTTCGAATGTGTAAAACAATAATACAAAAATGTAACATGAGAATTGATATACAAAAATATCAATTTGACACTACATACATACTAATAAATAAATAAAAAGATGATTAATTATTTGGTAATATATAATGATATTCTTTAGTAGTCTTTACCAATCAAAAAACAGCCAAAACAGCTCCTTTTTTAAAGAATTTCATCGATTGTTCTGCCGACTATGTTCTCTATTAGTTGCCTGCATGTCCAACCAGCAGTCTAAAAATATAACAGAATATTAAACAAAACATTAGTTTCACAAATGAGTGCTGAGTATTAAACCTTCAGAGGTGGAGAAGGTATGTTTAATACTGAGCATTAAGCTGATCATCAGTCAGTAAACCTTCAAACTGCATACTTTGGGTGGGATGGAAATAAAGCGCAATTCATCCCTTTACATTTTGATCAGTCCCTTCCCAGAGCTGAAGACATGAATATGACCAACAGCATAACTCCATTTAGATAAATAGGGCAGATCAGTCTTCTGTACTGTAGCCAGACTCTGTGGTTCAGCCTCATATCACTGCTGGTGTATTTTTACATACAATTCTCATGAACTTCTGTTCAAACCACTTCCACATTACTATGACTTGCAGTATTGACCAAAAAATTGAATTAACACATCAATACGGTTTACATTTCAACATTATGAAGATATCACCACACATGTTACAACAACAGCCATAGCGAGAACAACACACTCACACACACAGTGACATTACGCTTTGGTTTGATCTTAATTATTCACATTGTCGTGACATTTTCATGAGGCACTGTGGCAACTGACTTTCCACGGCTTTCTAGCAGTTAAGCAACAGAGTGCTTATGTGTGTTCATGCGTGTTTATTTGTGCAGGAAAGTGGCCGGGTCACGTCAATGGACACCTGGACCTGCACTCAATTTTGAAGTATTAGCTCTGAACGTGCAAAGTGAGGTGTCAAAATAACCGAGATTCAACAGCAACTGAGAACTGTATAACAACAATGAACAGACATGCTGTGAGGCATGAGGCTGTAAAAAGAGAAACGCTAAGAATAAGATGAGAGGAAAAGAAAGACTGAAAGAGAAATAAAGTCAAACAGAGAGTGGTGTATGTGTGTGTGTGTGTGTGTGTGTGTGTGTGTGTGTGTGTGTGTGTGTGTGTGTGTGTGTGTGTGTGTGTGTGTGTGTGTGTGTGTGCATGCGTGCGTGCGTTGTGTGCAGGAAGGGATGGGGGCACAGCTGGGGATTGAGGCGATGTGAGGGGGTGGAGGATTCATTTGTGTGTGTTTGCAGTGTGTGAGAAAGACAGAAACAGAGAAGTGGAGCAACAGAGAGCACAGTGAAGGATGCAGCACACTTTATAGCTTTCTGTTCATAAATCTGCCCTGTCACTTACACAGGTGCACCCACACTACGGAAAGACAGGCCTAGTGACCTGCCGAGAAGGTCTTTGCTCTGTTGCCTAGCAACCACAGACACACCAGGATGACAGCGGGCCGACAGTTTCACATCAACAGGACCATCAGGAAGTTCCTCCATCTTGGATGAGAACCAGCCCACAAACCACAGACAGTGACTCTTCAGATCAACATTCAGGCCTCAGCTTGCCTGAACCAGAAAGATCTTGCTACTGAGTCCCAGAAGACTCTGATTTTAACATTTACTTTTATTTAGTTTAGACCGTCAGCAACGATATCTCCAACTGGTTGACAAGAACAACAGAAGGGTAAACAAACGGTTGACAAAATGCCTCTAAATTAAAGTGGACCTATCATGCTATATTTGAAACATATATTGTAGGGCCATACCTACATAAATATATATATTTTTTCAAAATACCAAACAGATCCTGCATTTTAGCCATGCCTCATTTCGCTCTATTTGCTCTTTCCAGCCCTGTTTTTGCAGGGGGCTGATTCTGTGAGCTGCAACTGACCACGCCCCCTTGCAGGAGAGGGGAGTTGGCAGTTACTTTGCTGTATCAGCATTCCCACTAAATAATAGACTCAGCTAATTTAAGCGGCATTATAAAAGGTTTGTTTGCATTTGGTTTAACCTCTTAACAAATGGCCACAATATTTACCTTTTGTTGGCTGCGAGTGAAATACTTGGATTTTTATAACAATCAATTATGTTCACTAGTTGGACATTCACTTCTTAGTGGGAAAGGGCATTGCACCAAACACACACACACATACGTACGTACAGTTACTACACACACACTAACAGACACCTGCGCGAATATATCAGCAACAACAATGTTAAGTGTGGGTAACAATCTTGTACAATGTGTTAACTCTTCCAAATTGGAGGTTTTTCTTATGTTCCTGTTCTGCCGACTGTGTGAATGGACCCTCGCTCACAATCTGTGAAGTAACCCAGCCTTTGACCCCAGGCTTTGCGATGCAGCCAAATAACAATATGCCCTTTTTGTTTGACCAAAAGTGTGTTTTTAAATCATGCTTTGAGGACTACCTGTACAGCACAGTTGAGTGAGAATAATAAAATACCTCCATGACCAAACAAAGCTGTCATTGTTATGCATATTTCAAAAAATAAAAGGTTATTCCAAACAGCTATGCACTGTCAGTACCGGAGGCTCCGAGTTAGTAGAGCACAGACCTTCACTTGGCTCTACAGTCACATTGTGCATCCCTTCAAGCATATTCTGGCTTTTAAAGCTTGCCAAATTTTCTCTGAACAGTATTCAGTATTAATGGGAAGCACTTGCTAACTCTATGGTATAAAACATGCAGAGCGCTTGTAATTTTGACAGTTACATCAAGTGAATCACTATTGAATATCTGCCTGTTTATGGTACAGCTCAAACTACTTAAAAGACACTAAAAATGTCAGAAAGATCATTAGTAAATTATAATTATAATTGTTCAAGCTTTCTGTGTTGTACTGTATCCTTTTATATGTGATACTTTATGACTGTTTGTTAGGCACATCAAGCAAATAGGAGAGAAATAGATAAATATCAGTCTTCTGATAACCCCTCTATCCCTAATTTACGTACTGAGCCTTAAAAACTGGTTCATGTCGATCATCATTCTGTTGTAATTTGCTGTGATTTGTTCATTTCATGTTCATCTCGCCACATTCTGTGTAGTTTTCATCACATAGTATCAGCCATCCTGACATCTGCCATTTTCAGAGCACTGACGCTGTAAAGATCTGTCAACTATAACAATTCCTTGTGAATACATTGATACTGACAAGTAGGCTCTGTGGTGTGGACAGGCGTACTCTGAAATATGTGTTTGTTTTCTCAGACACATCTTGTAATCAATATCTTTAGACTGGCTGGCCCTAAC